TGATTTAAAAGTGCCCAGGGCTCCATTTAAAGTCTTTGCCCCACCCCCCCATTGGCTGGGCCTGCTTACTGTGCTTTACAAAGGAAATAGACTTCAGTGGCTACTGCCACACTCAACTAGCCACACTCAACCGGCCAAATTGCTACATGTGGCTAGTGGCTGGGCACCACGGCTCTAGATCATAGAATCATAGAATACTAGGACTGGAAGGGACCTCGAGAGGTCATCGAGTCCAGTCCCCTGCCCTCATGACAGGACCTAATACTGTCTAGACCATCCCTGATAGACATTTATCTAACCTGCTCTTAAATATCTCCAGAGATGGGGATTCCACAACCTCCCTGGGCAATTTATTCCAGTGTTTGATCACCCTGACAGCTAGGAACTTTTTCCTAATGTCCAACCTAAACCTCCCTTGCTGAAGTTTAAGCCCATTGCTTCTTGATCTATCCTCAGAGGCCAAGATGAACAAGTTATCTCCCAAAGATCCATTGTACACAAGCCCCTTGCTTCTTGTTCTATCCACAGAGGCCAAGATGAAGAAGTTATCTTCCAAAGATCCATTGTACACTTACTGTAAATTAGCGTATATAACCCGCACCTGTATATAATCCGCACCCGTGCATAACCCACGGTTTTTCCTAAATGTGTAAAAAACGTCCAAGATAACCCACGCACGTGTTTAGCCCGCGGGTTATATACGCTACTTTAAGGTACCTAGTAATTGCTGGCCAGCCTGCAGGAGGGGACCCGCACTCGCGTCCAGGCAAGTAAAAATAAACTTGTGAGTTGCGGGGTTTGTAAAACTTTGTATAACCCGCAGGTTACATGCGCTAAAACATGGTATTTACTGCCAATTAATTCATCTCAAGAACTCAGCGGGCAAAGTCCCCTAAGAAAGAAGCTTTATTATTATTATTTTTATTACCATTATTTTATTTCCATTAGTTCAAAAGGTGTAGAAGTTATGTGGATTGGCAGCCATACTAATTCATAATATATATTTTTTTATATCTTTAAATAATTACAGCTCGTTCATTCCAACCCCCTCCCCCTCCCCTTACAAAAAGCCTCTGTTTTCATGGGACCTTCCCAACGACTTTGGGAAGAATCAAACTTTACAAAAGAAAAAAAACAAACCCCACGACATCGTCACAGCTTGAGTTACATTAAGAAGGGTTGATCAGCGTTACAATGCCCCTTCCGCGTTTCTAAGCGCTTCCTGGTCAGAGACGCTCCAATCAGCCAGTAAGACTGCGATCTAAATACAGATCTTTTCTGATCAAAACTGGATCAGTGATTACAGATATTGCACCTTCACAAAGAGGAAAGACAATTAGTTCAGGGAAACGCCCTTTCTCGCCCACCCTCCGTGGATAGCTTCTCCATGTGTCCCCAACACACGGAGAGCAGAGGTCTGATTTGACTGGCATTTGCAGCTTAGACCCGCCTCCTGCCAACATTTAAGCACACATGTACATCTCCTCGTGTGAGACACCTCACTGAGGTTCAAGGACATGCGGATGTATTTTCAAGATGGGGGCCTTCAATCTGAAGTACAGGGCCAGACAGAATGCCGTGCCTGTTTGCGGCACTTCACACAACGGGACCTTTGGTCAGACTGCAATACAATAAATAATCTTGTCTTTATAAGCTTCCAGGAAGCCACGTGTCTTGTTTTATTAGAAATGGGGCAGAAGTGAAACAAACAAAAACTTCCTCAAACCTTGGATCCAAGCCCCTCCCGCATGCTAAAAAGGGGTGTGGCTTACAATACAACCCTCCCATTTCTCAATAGACCCTTGCTTTATAGAGGGTTGTACCAACCCCACCCCCACAAGCTGTTGTGCTCCGACCTTGTAAGTTCAGAATACCTTCTGGGAAGTTCCCTAGGTCTCCCCCCTTCTAGGATTCAGAAGCCAGTAAGTATCGTCTCCTTTCTCAGCATCACCCCCTCCTAAGCTGCCCCCAACCCACGGAAGGCTCTGTACGTGGTCCTCAGAATTGCAAATGGGTCAGGCAGCTGATGCACTGCTGAAAAGCCTCGCATTTGAATTAATGTTAATTGCCTATTCTGTGTTTGTACAGCACCTTGCACAGCTAGGTCTTTGCCCAGGACTGGGGCTCCTAGGAACTACAGTAATAAGAATACGAAATAATCGTAATTAGCGTTGTCTCTAGCTAATGTCTAACATCTATTTAGATGGTAAGCTCTTTGGGACAGGGACTGCCTGTGAGTCTGTGGGTATGTCTAGACGACAGGCTATTGTCGACAGAGTTTTGTCGACTGATATAGGCAGAAACAATAGAGTTGAAAGCTGTGGCAGGAGTGTCCACCAGGGCTTCTTCCTGGAGGCCTTTATTCTTCCCTGCGTCCACACTTATCTTTTGTCGACAGAACTCTGTCAACAAAGGCATTATTCCTCATAAAATGAGGTTTACTGCCATCGACAAAATTGCCGCGTTCTGTTGACTTACTGTCAACAGAATGCGGCAGTAGTGTAGACGCAGGTATAGTTTTGTCGACAAAACCCCACTTTTGTCAACAAAACCCTGTAGTCTAGACACATCCTGTACTTCTGCGGTGTTCAGTGGGGAAAGAAACCAGGTACCACGAAGAATAGTTAAAGCAATTCACGTTTCGACTAAAGCTAGCGCCCTCACGGCCTCGAAGCTCCTAGCTTCAGGGTGGCTATGTCTCCTGGGGCAAAGAAACCCCTTATGCATTGCTTTTCCAGAAGAGCCCAGTTTAGAATATCTCCCCAGGCCTGACGGACCGCCCGCCATCTTTGTGTTCATCTCAAAAATCACATGGGCTTGCGGGGGTTTTTTCCCCCTGGTGTACAAGCTTGTGTTTTTCCAGCCTGAATGCTCTGTTCGTTTCTGGCCATATTGTTAACCCCGCTAAAGGCCTCCTCCAGAGCTGGCTGAAGTCAACAGAACTCCATGTGTTTCAGTGGGCACTGGGTCCGGCCTTCTCATGCACTGACTCCTCCAGATCGTTAAGGAAGATGTTAATAAGACCAGCCTTGCCCTGGTCCTTGCAAGGTGAGCGGTTGGAGACAGAGATAGGAGAATCTTAGATGTCAGAGAGGGAAAGGACCAGTCAGGTCATGGGTTGTCTGCCCATGGCTCACTCATCCAGGTTGACATCAGACCTACAGAGCGGCTTTTGCAGGGTTGGAGGGAGCTGGGGAATGTTGCCATGGTAACATCTCCCCCCCCCCCCCCATCTGTTTAGAAGCATCTCAGATTTGAAGCCATGTTAGTCTGTAACTTTCAATGCGAGTAATCCTGGGGCACCTTAGAAACTATCCAAAATATCCAATCATAGACCTGGAAGGGACCTTGACAGGTCACTGAGTCCAGTCCCGTCTTCACAGCAGGACAGCCTCCTCTTTGGGTGAGCCAGTGGGGGGTTTGACCCCACAAGCCCACCGCCTAGAGGCTGACACCTTATCCATTAACCCACTGGAAGACCCATAGAGAGACGATATAGTATCACGTCGAACTGGTCTATATAGTATCATGCGGTGGGGTTTGCCCACAGACGCTCATCATACCATTTATCCTTGTTAGTCTCTACACCCTGATCTACACGGGGGAGTTATTTTGAAATATGCCCTTTATTCCAAAATAACAAGCGGCGCGTCCACACAACCAACCCCCCGATTTCGAAATAAGGGACTGTGTATTTCGAGATCTGGACTCCCATTTTCCACACGGAATAGCGCTTATTTCAAAACAGCGGGCGTGTGGACGCGCCGCTGCTGCTATTTCGAAATAACGGCTCCCCCGCCTCATTCAAAGTAACTACTCCCTGGGGATTCCTGGGGCTCAGTTGAGGTGGCGCGTCGGCATGAAGGGAGCCTGCCTCAGATTCGTTTCGAGGCTTCCCTGTAGCGTCGACGTGCTATTTCGGGAGTTATTATATCGAAATCAGTTACTTTGAAATGATTTCCTAGCGTAGAACTCTCACACAGTGGACCCTTTCGTACATGGATCTGGGAGGTACAATATATTTTTTTAGTACTTTACATAGTCCAGTTCAGACCCTAGCAAGGAGAGAAAGGCTGAGCAGACGAGACGAGAAACAGGCGCTGGAAGTTCAGGGGGATGTGAAGAAGATGAAGGAACACATCTGATTGACTCAAAAGGCCGTTCTCTGCCTAGAAGACTACTGGGGCGGGCCCTGAAGGCTTTGGGCAGCGGCTCTTTTGGGCCTTGTGGGGAGCCAATGCTAGTTTCTTAATATTGAAAAAGTAAATGGAATGAAGCTTGTTCCACGGACATCCCAGCTGTGTGCTCGTGTGTGGCGGACAATGCGTTTTCCCCTGCCTCTGAGGTCCAGTCAGACAGCTGACACGCCCAACGAGGAAAGCCGCTTCTTTCTGTCCACAGTGCGGCCTTTAGGAAAGAGGGATGTCAAATCCCATGTAAATCAGGTCACCGGTTAAACGTTACGTTGAACTGGTTAACTGCTTACATAGGATCGTGCGGGGGTGAGGGGGAGCTCGGTCGCCGGTTAACCAGTAAGCACCCCGCAGTACGGCTGATGTTTACCGGTTAACTAGTTCACTGCTGACATCCCAATTAGGAAAGCTGAATTGCTAATTGATTTTGGGAGGACACGAGGGAGGGGCACGGGTCTGCCCTGGGGGCAAAAGGCAGGTACAGCCGGTTGATCCGCTACTTTGGGAACAAGGAAAATCAGATGTATCAGTGGCAATAGAAAACCCCAGAAGAATGTAAAGTAATTCCCTGTGATGGGTCACGGGGACGTACGCAACGGCAGCGTGATTTCCTCTAGAGCAGTGGTGAGGAACGGACCCCTGGTTTGCCTGGATCCAGACTTTGAGGTTCAGGGCCCCCCCCTCAGCATTGGGGAGCCCCAGCTGGTGCTCCAGCCTCCTCCCTCCCCCCGCTGCCCCACCACAGGGCTGGAACACACAAAATCTACTAGCCTGGGCCCCCCCACAGGCTCTGGTGTGTGAGGGGAATGTGGGGAGGGTCCTTCTGCTGCTCAGTTGGGGGCCACGTAAGCGAGAGAGTTTGTTTGCTTCTCACTTGTGTGCAGCCCCCGACTGATTTTTCTCGTGTGCAGCCCCAGACCCAAAAAAGGTTCCTTACCCTTGGCCTAGAGAAATCCTCAAAGTCACGCTCCTCGCTATCTCAAAGGGGAGAATCCAATTTTCCCTTCCATGTGTTTCATAAGCTCTCTGGGTCTCTTCCACCCCACCCCCATGCCCAGACTTTCATGGAAACCTTGGATCTGAGACCTTCTCCAGCCTCAGCCTTTTGAAAACACAGTCCCGCGACCTGGAAAGATAAAAATAAAGTCGTTCCTGTCAGCAAAGTACAAGGGTTCAGGTCTCTGGCTCCTTGGTAACATGGAAACGAAGCTCTGGAGGGATCGGCCGATGTGCAAGCGGTGTTCTTCTTTCTCCTTCAACTTCCCACGGTATTAAAAACCACAAAAGCTGTCAACGTGTGTCTGATGAAGTGGACCCAGCCCTATAGCACGGAAGGTCAACCGATCTCTGCCTGTAGGTGCTACCACGGTGATGGCATTTCCTCCAGGGCTGACTTGGTCGGGAAACGAGTGGATGGTAAGGACGACAAAAATGTCCCAGGTGCCATCGCTGTCCAAGATGTCAAAGCCAGAAGTTTCAGAAACGCCGGAGTCCTGTCTTAGTTTCTGGCTGTTTTACAGAAGGCGGTTACAACCTGGCTTCTTTCAAGAAGAGTCAAATCAGCCACGGTTATTCTGAGACGGGGCCGTCTTGGCTTGTTTAGCGTTAGCTCTTCCGCACCTCCGGGAAGTCCTCTTTACAATGCCGTACGGAATAGTCCTCCCTGCGTCACATCACGCCTCCCTCGAGGAGAGCGGGAAAAGAGCAAAGAGCTCTGCTCACTTACTACGCGGTGTCTTCTAGGCCTGCGGTCCGCGCAAGGAGGAAGAGGTTATGCCGTTATGATGTCACCGTGGCTTTCGGCTAAGACCAGGCTGTTCCAGGAGTCCTGTTTGGAGCTGGCCTGTGGAGACTGGCTCATGGCTGACTGGTAGCCCTGGGGGGAAAGCTTCAAGGCCGAAATAGCCGGGTGCAGAGAAGATCCATGCCCAGACATCGCGGTGACGGAGAAGGCCTAGAAAACATGTAAAAGCGCAAAGGGTTTTCCACCGTGGCCAGGAGAAAGCATTTCACTTTACACGGGTCTAATGTTCCATGCAGAGACATGGAAAGACCAGGACTTTAAAAGGGTTCACAAAAGAGCTCAATAAATTCATGAAGGGCAGACCGATCAATGGCTATTAACCAGCATGGGTAGGAATGGTGTCCCTTGCCTCTGTGTGTCTGGGAATGGGCGACGGGGGAGAGATCACGTGATGATTCCCTGTTCGGTTCCCTCCTTTTTGGGGTACCTGGCATTGGCAACTGTGGGCAGACTGGACCGTGAGCAAGATGGACCTTTGGTCTGACCCCGTCTGGCCGTTCTTACGGGATTTGCAATACTGACCCAAACCATCAGTTCCTTTCATCTTGTGCCCCACTTCAATGTCTGATGGGTGATGCTTCAAAGGAAAAGTATCGCCCTTCCCCTCTGAACCCACTCCATTAACAACATTAGGGATCTTAAAATGCGTGCAATCAGCTACGCCTCTAACTGCTGAAAAATTAGCATTTACACCAGTGTTTCTCAAAGTACCCCTTTAAAAAAATGTTAAGTACCCCCAGTACCTACAGTTTTCAGACACACTCATTTTTTTTCTACCATTGCAACACATTTGTTTAAACAACTTAATCGTAGCCAGGCGGGCGATGACATTTTTGGTTGTAAAAAGGACAAAAATAATAAAGTGCTGTAAAACTGAAAACAAATTCAGTTTTCTTCAAATTTCAGTTGTGTTTATGTCCCCGCCCCAGACTTCTCTTGAGTACCCCTAAGGGTACTCGTACCACTGGTTAAGAAACACTGGTTTACACGATTACATGCGGTGTGGCAGCCAGCTCCCTGGGAGCTGGTGTGTACGGGGAGCCAGTTTTTAAGCCAGCTCCCAGCATGTACCTGCTGCCATTCTGCTCCCGGAGAGCCAGCTGCTGCCCCTTATACAGAGGCAGCAGCACAGGGGAACTCCCCGGGGAGCCTGTGAGCACCAGGAAACATTGGCTTCCTGTGAGTACCGGCTCCCATCTGCCACCCTGCTTCTGGGGAGCCGCGTGAAAACGTTTGGGTAACCGATACACTCATGCTTATCGAATACCTGTTTAAAAGGCTACACGTTTTCATTCCTATTGTGTCTAGTGCATTTAGTTCTTTTCTAACCACTACAGGTGACCATCTACCCTCCCACACCCTTCGACATAACATTTTATCACCAATGCCCCTTTTGATTAATTGAGCTTGCTCATACACAATGGAGTCAAGTGTTACATTGCTTTGGGCTCAATATTGCAAACACTGGCTCAATCCAGCAAATATTTAGTACTGGTTTTACAGTCACGGCGCTTAAATATTACACCAAACTTTATATTTAAATATTGGCATTCTTTTGCTGAGTTTAACAGGATACAGCCTTTCTCCGACTTAAGAACCGGTTACGGACCAAGCAATTGGTCGTAACTCGGTTTGTTCATAAGTCGGACCCCATAGAGTTACACGCGACCGCGTGATTCGTGTTCGTAACTCGGGGTCTGCCATTTACGACAGCTTCGGTCGTAACTGAGAATGGTCATAAGTCAACGGTTCGCAACTCGGGGACCGGCTGTATAAGCTAACTCAGTCTCGAATATTAGTCTTGTACTGGTATACGTAATCAAGTATCTCCTTAACCAAGAAACACTTATTAAAAGAAACAGCAACAACTACAAATAAACAATCTCCCACACAGATCCCGCTCCAGGTTTGTCTGTCTTGTTTACCAGGGCTGTCACCCTGCATGGAACATTGTAAGGTGCACAGAGACATCTAGTGGCTGAATAATATACTGCAAATAAACATATAAGTCTCTCACAAAGCAGCTGTGTGAATATGGTAATTTTGATTCTCCAGTGATTCAGTTTTCTTTTCTGTGGACTTGCGCCCACGGTGCTGAGTTCCAGGCTTATGCGAGCCCACAAATTCATAGGAAGAAATAAGCCAAAACTGCCAATTTTGCCAGGTTTCAGGTCAAAAGCAAACGGCACAGCTTGGCCGCACTTGGATATTGATGCAAATAACTGATCCCAGAATAATTATTTTGGCGTAAGTCTCCATGTGGGAACTTGTATTTCGGAATGACAGTCCAGTGTGTGAGTTAGCTTTCAGCACTCTGGTGCATTTCCCAATGTAATAATGTCCTTACCGTTGCAAATTTAGAATAAACAGCCCAAAATCACACACCCCCTTTCAGGGGGATGCAGCGGATTTGTTCAAAATCTACCCCTGGCTCGCTCAAACTCTCGAGCGGTGTGGGTTTTCAGTTTTCACAGACAGCGCCACCCCGCTGCCCTGTCCGATAGCCAGGGGCATAAGGAACTTCAAATGTCAGCCAATAAATCAGCCAATCTCTCTTGGATAATTAAAGAGCTGGAGGGATAGGGTGTGAAAACATTTCCCCGTACAAGTGAAACGCAACCCCCGTGCCAAAGGGGAACCCTGCACCGAGCAAAATGGCTGCCGTTTGCCTTCAGAGCCGGCCTCTTTTCTCCTCAAGTCACCGGTATTCACGTTTACGCCTTTGTCACCTCTCTCACATGCGTCTTCCTCCTTCCTTACCTGAGCAATGGGGCTTGGGTGCCCATAATGAGATGAAAGCCCCGGTTCCGTCTTGATGGGGCGCATTTCCTCGGGGGCGGGGGCGGCGGTGTTGCTGGTGGAGCTGCTGGTGGGGGTAAAGCTGTCGCTACTTGATGGTCCTAGGAGAAAGCAGGAGTTAAACCAGGCTTCTCAACAGAGGGGCTTTTCCAAAAAACATCAGGGTTGGGAGAAGGAGCCACCTGTTTGCAGGCAGGATTTTGCTGCCACGAAAAGACCCTCGAAGATCTTCACTAGGGGTATGTCTACACTGCATTCCTCTGTCGAGAGAGGGATGCAAATGCAGCTGAGCGAAATTGCAAATGAAGTGCAGATTTAAATTTCCCGTGCTTCATTTGCATAATTGCGTCCGGGCGCTATTTCGAAAAAAGAAACACTGTCTAGACGCAGTTATTTCGAAAGAAAACCCTTCTTTTGAAATTACCCTTAAACCTAATTGCTTTCGAAATAACCGTGTCTAGACAGCGTTATTTTTTTTGAAATAGCGCTATTTCGAAATAGCGCCCGGACGCAATTATGCAAATGAAGCACGGGAAATTTAAATCTGCACTTCATTTGCAATTTTGCTCGGCTGCATTTGCATCCCTCTCTCGAAAGAGGGTGCAAGTGTAGACATACCCTAGATTTGGAGGGAAGACGAAAAGGATGCTGGAAGATTTGGTAACTGTGTCCCCCCGACTTCTTGTTCCACGCACTTTTATCCCCGGCACAGCAGGATGGAAACATTTCAGATTTTGATAAAGATAGGCAGCCTGCCTTATGCTAAAATTTTTTGCTTCAGCTAATCTCCCGAAGCCCTGAGCCAGCATAAACAGGGGTGGTGTAAAATCTCCGAGTGATTCTTTGAGGGGTACGGGCTTCTTTGCCCCGTTGGGAGCCTGGAAGGCAGGTCCCCAGGAATTACAGGTGTGATTAGCAGCAGTTAGGGTGGGGATGCCGGTCCACTAAGAACAGGACTGAGAGCACTTGGGGTCAGAGCAGACCACACGCTAAATCTGAGTCAACAGTGGGACGCTGTTGCCAAAAAAGTGAACCTGATTCTGGGCGGCATGAACAGGCGTGTGGTGAGCCAGACACGAGGAGTCATTCTTCCACTCTGCTCTGCGCTGGTTAGTCCTCAATTGGAGGATTGTGTCCAGTTCTGGGCACCACATTTCAGGAAAGATGGGGAGAAATTGGAGAAGGTCGAGAGAAGAGCAACAAAAATGATGAAAGGTCTCGAGAACATGAGCAATGAGGGGAGACTGAAGGATGTGGGTTTATTTAGTTTGGAAAAGAGAAGATTGAGGGGGGACATGAGAGCGGTTTTCAGGTATCTAAAAGGGTGTCGCAGGGAGGAGGGTGGGAAATTGTTCTCCTTGGCCTCTGAGGACAGGACAAGAAGCAATGGGCTGAAACTGCAGCAAGGGAGGTTTAGGTTGGACGTTAGGAAAAACTCCCTGTCAGGGTGGTGAAACACTGGGATAAGTTGCCCAGGGGGGTTGTGGAATCGCCATCCCTGGAGATATTTCAGAGCAGGTTGGACAGACGCCTGTCAGGGATGGTGTAGACGGAGCTTGGTCCTGCCTTGAGGGCGGGGGGCTGGACTCGATGACCTCTCGAGGTCCCTTCCAGTCCTATGATTCTATGATTCCAGTGCTAGTGTTCTAGGATTCTCTGATTTCACACAGGTCAGCCACCGTACAGCGCTCTATAATCCTGGGCTCTGGAGGGTGATGCTCTATCAGGGGTGGGCAAAGGGGGCTCCATGGGCCGGATCCAGCCTGTCAAGATGGTGGATCTGGCCCCTCCCTGCAGCTCCCCTGCCCCACGCCAATCGAGACCTGGGGACATGAAGTCTCCCCCTCGCCAAGGTGAGAGACTTCGCGCACTCCACCACCCCAGGCCCTGACTGACCTGGGAGCGGGAGGAGAGCATGAGGTCTTCTCCCGCTGTGGCACCTAGACCATGGGCCGGATCCAGCCTGTCAAGATGGTGGATCTGGCCCCTCCCTGCAGCTCCCCTGCCCCACGCCAATCGAGACCTGGGGACATGAAGTCTCCCCCTCGCCAAGGTGAGAGACTTCGCGCACTCCACCACCCCAGGCCCTGACTGACCTGGGAGCGGGAGGAGAGCATGAGGTCTTCTCCCGCTGTGGCACCTAGACGGAAGTGCCAGCTGTTTAAAAAAAAAAAATAAATAAAAAAGAGCAATTCTCT